AATTTTTGTATGAAAATATCTCAAATCATGATATGGAATAAGCATAAAATCGCATGTCCAAACGCTGATTCCATCTCACGATTTCATATCGTGATATGGTATCGCATGGCCAAACGCTTACTTATAAAAAGAATTAAACTTTTTTTTAAAAAGCATGTTAAAATAGAAATATAATTAAGTAATTTAAATTTTTTTAGCACATGTCACATTGCCTAAAATTTAGAAATTTATGTTTAAACAGATTTTATATTTTAATCCAACTTCGAAAATTGTATCTTTTTAGAACTTTAATATTTAAACTTAAATTTTAAAAAGAATTACCTTTCAATTCAAATCAAATGTAACCTAATAATATTGTATTAAAAGTAACAATATTAAAGAATATCAATCATATGAAATTATGATATGACTTGTGCTTGTTTGAGGAAAAGCAAAAATATTTTTTTTAGTGAATAATTTAATCTTTTATGTTGAATCTAAAGTGAGGGTATAAGACCTTTGAGAACTTAAGCTATGGTGAGTACATATCATTTCACAGATATATATCGGTAATGGCGAAAAAATTCATTTTATGTAACGATCAAATTTGATGTGTTCGCATCGTTACCTTAATATTTTCTTCTCATTTTATCTTTATTATTGTTTAAAAAATCATATTTCATCTTTTATCTTACCTTTTCATAAAAATTCTACTCTATATCCTACTTTTCTTGTAGGTTTATCACTCAAATTATAGGTGTGTGACATTATGTAACGACGGAGAACGATATATTCTATCCAAACATTATATTCATTAAAACAATACAATACGATACAAAACAATACAATACAATACAATACGTACATTATGAAGCAATACGTAACCACCATCTAAACAAAGTGTAAGTATATTGTATCTATATATGATTAGCAGGGATAAGGCGAAGATCAATCTTCTTATGCATTACAATTCCAGGCTTACCATTTGTATCAATATCCTCTTTTTTCATCCCACATGGCAGTTCCCAATCAAATGCATAAAGAAGATTTGACAATGCAAGTTCCACAATTGCAACCCCAAGTGTAATCCCCGGACACCCTCTTCTTCCTGCTCCAAATGGAATTAACTCAAAGTCTTGTCCCTTAAAATTAATATTGTTATTCAGAAATCTCTCAGGAATAAATTCTTCTGAATTTTCCCATATCTTAGAATCTCTTCCTATAGCCCAAATATTAACATGAATTATGGCTCCTGGCTGAATTTCATACCCTTCTAGTGTGGATTTTTCAATTGATTTTCTTGGCAATAGAAGAGGAGTTGGTGGATACAATCTTAATGTCTCCTTTATTACTGCTTTGAGATAAGGCATATTTGAGTCCGGAGCCAAAAGGGCAAAAAAAATTGCCAAAAATTTCAAAAGGGCACATCATATTTTTTTAAAACCAAAACGGCAAAATCGCTCCTGCTGGAGCGATTTTCCTCTGACACATATTAACGCCGTGTACTCCGTTCAAATAAAATCGCTGCCAGGGCAGCGATTTTTGTCTAATTTTTTTTTCTTTTTTCTTTTTCACTAAAATCGCTGGCTCAACAACGATTTTTTAACTCTAATTTTTTTCCTCCACCTAATATCGCTGCTATGGCAGCGTTTTCATAGAAGAAAAAAAATTGGCAGCTTTTTGTAAAAACTGTTTTTTGGAAAATCGCTGCCCTGGCAGCGTTTTCCTTAAAAAAAAAAAATTCATTTGGATTTTCTTAATTAGACTGCCTTTTCAGCGATTTTTGTTAAAAAAATTATTTTTTAATAAAAACACTGCCTTGTTTTCAAAACGAAAAACAATTTTAAAAAAAATAAAAAATTGAAGAGAAAACGAATTTAAAAAAAAAGAAAAAAATTTAACTAAAAAGCTGTCAAGGCAACAATTTTCAGCCATTTGACAGGTTTTTTACAAAAATAAATAAATAAATATATATATATATCTTGAAATCGCTGCCAAGTGGAACTAGTTTTTTTTTAAAAAAAAATCGCTGCCTTGGCAACGATTTTTGTAGAAATATTCTTTTATTTTATTTTACTTACAGAAATGTAATGACCCGAAATGTCATTTTTGGAATTTTTTGAAAAAAATTATCGTTTTAGCCCTCTCGATAGTTATCCCGAGTCATTTATGATCAATCATTGAAGTTGGTTTGAGAATTTTGAACTATTAAACAACTATGGTTATTCAATTAGCGAAAAATTTGTTTATAATTAATTTTATTAAGTGGTTAATGGGTCAAGTCCATAACCCTATACCACTTGACCCATGTACTAATTAAATTAAAAGGGGTTTATTAAATTTTGGGTCATAATTAAAGAGGAAAAAGAAAGAGTCAGATCGGAACTCCCAATTTTAGTTGCGGCGTCGATAATGTTACGTGTGTGCTTCAGGTATATTAATTTCTAGCCTAGTTCACTTCATTACTGTTGGAAGTTTCTTCTGCTGCCAAGGTTAGTGGAGAAATATGATGGTAAATTAATGTTAATGTAATGATTAGTTAAATATTGGGCAAGAAAAGTTTTTACATCTTATTTCATATTAATGTCTTTAATTTTATATTTGTTTGAGTACTTGCAGAGGTCAGTGGAGCAACTTTTATGATTTTCAATTTTCTTTTACGATTAGAACTTAATCTTTTAAGTTCGCACAAATTATAATTTTAGTTCAACAAGATGAATGCACTCCGTCAGAAAATAGTAGAGGGACTTACCTATAATTTTCTTGTTAATTTTATTAGGATTCGTGGGCTTTTCATGTTAATCTGGTTTAATATTTTGGAATAAGTAATTAAATATTGGTATATTATATTATATGAAAACTATTAGATTGTGATAGTTGGAGAGATTAGAACTTAACCCTAGACTTGAAATTTGGAGAAAATTGAAAGAGTTGACATGTTATTGGCATCGAGATTAGGAATTTGATTATAGATTTGAGTGAATTTTTGGGTCTAGTCTAGACATAAAGTAATGTGGGTGTTTTGAGTTTCAAAATCTTATTGTGATTATTAATGTGAATAGATTGCTTTGAGTTGGAAGTTCAACAAAAGGGGAAGGCTCAAGTCCCGGAGTAAATTCTTATTTGATTCAGGCAAGTGGATTTCTAAACCCTTGTTAAGTGTATGGAATTCGTGTATTTCCTTGTAATATGTGTTTGGGGGTAATGAGACTTGGTGATGGGTTAACTTGTCCACTTTGATTAATTCTAGTGATGAAAAAGGGATAATAAAAGGCAATGTGATCAATTGTTTGTGTGTGGTGTGTTGAGAATTGTTTGTGACGGGCATTGGTACGAGTACCGATGTTATAAAGGGAAAGTTTATTACTATAGAATGTGGATTGTAATTCGAGAATGCCAAAGCATATGGGCATTAGTTGATATATTATTGACTTGATTTATTAT